AAAGTATTCTTTAAGTCTCCTCAATAATATACTCTAATTTTATAAAAATCGGTGTACAAATGTGTACTCTGTGAAAGGTAGACTTTGAAATAAACAAAAATTTAAAAAAAAATCATAAATTTTGAAAAATTTTCGAAAAAAGGATCAGCTAGGATTTTGGTAAATATCATTTTTAATTCACCAAAGGGTCCTGAACAAGAAACTGCAATCAGTTTTTGGCGTCACTTTTATGTGACTTAAACTTCGTTCAGGGACACTGTGACAATGTCACTGATACAATAGCATAATAATATATATATATATATATATATATATATATATATACATGCATCTTGTATGAAGTGGCACCCACTTAATCAACGTAAATGTGACCCCCTCGTATAAAAAACCAATTTTAAAACTTGACATTGTGGCACCACCAAAAATCATGATCAAGTAGCACCCTTCACGTATAAACTGGTTATAATTATATTCAAACAGGCACCCTCCACTGTTGCCATACTTACGGGTGCCATATTGAAGATATACAATTTAATATAATTTTATTTAGTAATATTCATATCTGAAAAATGTTGATTACCTAAAACAAATATGGTGAAATACTCTATTTTATATTATTCTGCATCATAATTCGAAAATTATAATAATATTAGCTTTATTGAGATAAAATGGAGTGCGTAAAATAAGTTTTATAATGCAACTCCATTGAAAATTCGATTTTAGGCGCGCAAATGGAAGAAATTAAGGTTAGAATTATTTTTAAAGATGTCAGGAATAATTACCATTAATATTTTTGTATTTGTGTAAGACAAATTGTCTTTTAAGAATTTAAAAATCTCTCACTACAACGCGGTGCTGCGGCGGTACGAACAAAATTTTTGTTTATTAATTATAAATTCACATTAATGTGAGAGCGAAAAATTTGACTTTTTTTATTTAATAAGTACCTACCAAAATATGTTTACCAAAGGTAGTAAAATTTAGATTCATGCACCACAGTGCCTGTCATTTATAAGTGCTTGAGAATTTTTATTACTTTTTTTCGTGTAAGTACATGTAAAAAAAATTAAATCAAAAATATACTTACATTCATTATTTTAATTTTTTATTAAATTAATTTCAAGAATATTTTTTAATTATTTTTTGTACATGTACTTATAGTTTTTTAATGTTCCAAAATAAATCCTTGTAAGCAGCAAGTCATGTTGTACAATATTTCCTTTTTTGTACCAATAGTATTAATTAATATTTTATTAATTATTTTATTTGGGGCCCAACAAAATTATCTCATTATTATTATTAAAATAAAGATAAAAATAACTACTCAAAAGAAGTTGGGTAAGTTGGGTAAAGGTACAACATACAAAAAGTGACTGCATGTTCTAGCAATAAGTTTGTCATATTGTCCATAAAGAATAAACCAGTTCATCAAAACTTTATTTGAATAGTGATTTTTCTTCATTTTAACTATTTTATTAACAATTTTTATTAAATAAATGAATTTCTAACTATATTAGTAAATAATAATATACCTTTTAATGTAGGTACCGGACGTTCAATTAAACCGTTTATACACATACTTATCGACATATTTACTTTAGACCGAAAAAAAATATATTAATTTATTAATTTCTTGTCATATGAAAACATACAGTTATTAAAACTTATTCGTAGATTTCACTTGTATTGTTTAATAATTTAAAATTACTTAATATTTAAAAATTTGAAATAATAAATAATAGGAATTGTAAAATATCTTTGTTATTATTAACTTTAGGGAATGGTATTATAATTTCATATTTAATTATGTAAAAATATACAGGGCGTTCCGTTAAAAATTAAAAACTTATTGCTGTTTTAATTTATCTACATTCACATTGCTTTTTATCAAGTAACTTTTAAGAAATATTACAATAAATACAACCGAATATCATCAAACCTAATATTAAAAAAAATATAAGATTTTTTTGTTGAGGGTGAAACTGACCGAATTTTACGAAAAAAATTAATAACTCAATAACTATTAAGTTTTGGTATAGAACATGATATAGGTAGTCATTTTATAAGGAATAATATTAAGAAATAAAAAATGTAAAAAAATTGTGATGATTCATTTAAAATAACAAAGTTGATATCGCTTCCGTTAAAACCGGAAGTGGAATTTTGTTCCAAATAATTTAGAAAAATAGTTTTAATGATAATATTATTATAATTGCTTTAAAAAATTTAATTTGATATCTTTTTCCGTTTTCCATAAACATGTAACCTACCATCGACCCTGATACACCCTGTATAATATTTTAATTCCCTTTCTAACTAAAAAATGAAAAAAACATCAACAGTATTTTTTTATACGTAGTAGGCCAGTTATGTTTTGCATTTAGGTAATTTAAACTGTTACGAATCATACCAAAAGTTTTGGTAATTTTGGGGCCGAGCGGTGGCCGAATGTTTGGTGCTCATAAGTTTAATTTTTAAAACAAAAAGTAACTTACTTTGATAAAGAGAAAGAACAAAATATTTTTTAATGTTTTTCAGATGCAGGTTTAAAAAATGTTTACGATTTTTCCTCATCGGAAGAATCTGATCCTTACAAAACAGATGGAAGCGAAGATGAATACATACCATCTAGCGAAAATAGTAGTGAATATGTATGTAATTTTATTTTAAATCTGCTGCCTTAATTTTATATTCCTAAACAAGTGCAGAAGGAGTTTTTTTACGAATGTGAAGACAAGCCATAGGCGAGTTTTGCAATAACATATATGTTATAACTAAAAAAACCCCTCTGCACAATTTAAAGAAAAATATAGACTTTTTCCATTGAGAAAATCGATGATGAAGCCATGGAGAAAATATCATAATAGGTTCAGCTATGGAAACTTGCTGAGAAATACTGTCCTAAAATATTTTTTATCATTTGTAATTTTATTATATAATGGTAATTTGTAAATTTTAACACAATGTAAAAGCCTTCTGCTAAATTTTTTAACTTCTTCACTTTATTTTAAAATATATATACAGTGTGTCCCGCTTAAGACCTTACCACCTTCGTAAAATTTGTATTTTTTAACTGATTTTTGTAAACTTTTTTTGTTGGATAGATCTCTGGAAAAGGATTTAAACGCATATGTCACTGGTTTTAAAGACTAAACTGTGATCTCTTTTTTAGTACTACCTACTAGGGATTTTTTTAGAGCAAAAGTTACAACGAATTTTTATTCGGGACCACTAAAAACCGAAATTTCGACCCAAAACAGACATCACAGTTGGCGATGAGTTTTGTCGTCAAAACAAGAGGATGGTAGGTTTTAAGTGGGACACTGTGTATATATTTATAGAAATACTAATAAATGGACTTACGATAAATTTTTACGATTTAAAAATGCCTATTTTTTTTGTGATATAAGAAAAAAGTTTTTCCCAAAACCATGGAAAAAATAACATCTATGTGAAAACAAAATTTCGATTGCGTTAACCGTACACCAAATTCGAATGCATACCACTTTCCTGCAAAGAATAAAACAATTTCCATTTTCCACCATCAAAGATGAAATAGATTGAAGTCCCTAGAAATACAAATAACAAAAAACGTTTAAACATCCGAAAGCAAGTGATTTTGATATAAATTTAAAACGAGAATGCAAATCAGCCTTATCAGAATCATATTCTTAATATTTCTTGTGTAAATTATTATTATATCTAATAAATTCTCCAAAAAAGTAATGATTTGTTATGTTTATTATACTTAATAAACCTAATACATCATCACTTATTTTGAAGACTATATAATTATACGATCTTAGAATAAAGAATGAACCAAAACAATATTTAAAATCAAAATTCCCGCCAGCCGCTTCTCGCTGCCCTCCGGACACGGCCGAATACTTCCGAGGTTTCCGTGATAATTGGTGTCGTCTGTTACACACGAGGTTTTAAAGTTTCTTCCACTGTTGCCAAATTTAGGGTGCCATAATGTAAAGGCATATTATGGGTGCCAAAAGTTTAACAATTATAATGAGTGTATAAAATATATACATCTGTATAAAAAAGAGCGCCATCTATAATAAACTTCGCAAACTAAACTGTATATCCGGGAGTAATCTTTGTCAAAGTGGCACCCTTCAAATTTTTTGTTATATGGTTTAGAAGGACCCTACCTTCATTGGAAAAATTTTTAAAGGCAAAACAAAGTGGCACCCGAAACCGGGTGCCACATTGTAAAATTGGGAGTCACATTGACAATGTTTATACCATATGGGTGCCTAAATGACACTGTCTATCTATATATATATATATACTTAATGTTTTCTTTGTGGTAGACATACTATTTTTTATATAAAGTTGTTGAACATTTTGAAGTTTGGCTTCTTTATATAGTTTATTACGGTTTATTAGTATTAAATAACCTGTTCTTATTGTTTTAATTATGTAATTATGGATGGTAAATAGGGGAGCCAAGGAAAGCCAAGTGCTTTTTATCCTTTTGTGTGGAGTATAATTTTTTGAACTGTTCTATTCATTCCTGAACTTGATAATGCTATGGTATAAACTTTGTAACTGGCGCACCTTAAAGAACCTATAAGTGCGCCACGAAATAAAAAAGTTAGGGAACCCCTGAATTATCCAGCTACATTTGGTTTTCATTTATCGTGTACCAATGTGTAATAGGTAGGTATTTTTTAGTAAAAATTAAATAAAAAACAAATAAAAATTAAATAAAAAACAAATAAAAAACAAAAAAATAATTTGCAATAATACTGTTTTTTTAATTTTTGTTTATATTATTTATAAATATTAAAATATTACCAAAGTATAATAGAATGTTTATGTTTCTTATTTATTTAATTTTAACTGAAAAATACTTATTACACATGTGTAATTGTACCAATTGGTACACAATAAATATACAGAGACATTATATGAATGTTTAAACAAAAAGTTTATCCAAGATTATTGGTACCTAAAATGTTTTTTTAATTAAGAAATATTCTTATTACCTGTTGCACCTGGCTAAATACTTTGGACTTAACAGGCAAAAGTATTTTTTCTTGGTTTCCTTCGGCAAGCTGATGTGAAGAATTACTACCCCAAACATAAACATCACTTTTTTCATACACACCCAGCTCAGAATCTGAAGTGGAGGATTCAACTGCTGAACATGCTCCTCCATAGTCCACAGCCATAGAAGACAATATTTCCATTAAACATAATGCTGCTTTGTATATGCTAAATTCATCAGATTGCTCACTGTTCCACAATTCTGGCCTTATTTTGTGCTTACCACCCTCCAACTCCAAGATAGCCTTTTTAAATAAACTGCTTTTAAGGGTATCTTTTTCTGTACAAGACACTTCCAATGCTAGATCAACCCACTCAAGTAAATATCTCAGAGAGCCTCTTTGCAATGCAAGTTCCAACAAGATTTCACATGCAAGAAGCTTTCCAGCCACATCTACAGAGGATTCATTTAAAATTGCATTTCTTAGAAAGGTGGATACTTGGTTTAAACTATTTATTCCAAGTACTGTTAATTGTGACTCATTTGACAAACATAAAGGTGGAAGTTTTTTTATGAGATCCACTGTAGAAACAAGTACTGAATTACAGAGAGATGGAATACCAAGTATTCCACTTATTTGCCAATTTTGTTGCAGGAGAGAAAATAACAAGCTTAAGACTGTTTGAACACCAATTTCCAAAAGAGCTTCATGGCCAGTTTGAGTTTTTTTATTAATTAAAGATGTTGTAGATGGTTGACTTACATCCAATATCTGCTCTTGTTTTTCTTTGTCATGATATTTTGTTAATAAGGCATAATAAATTCTTTTCAATACGAGTAACCTTTGTTTAAAGGAAATAGAAAATTGTGTGGAACAACACACTTCTTTTGCAAGGTCCAATTGTGATGTAAGCAAAATAGTAACAAAATGATTTAATTCTGAATGTGAGGAAGGTTCATACTGAAAACTTGGAAGTATGTTAACATCATTGTAAGATGCCACGTTAGTTGGTATAACTCGTACCTCTTTATTTTGTAATAATATATCATACATAGATTGTACCTGATCTGGGTTGGCAATACTATCACAATTTTTTTGAATCCATATAGAATTTGTATGGTCCACACAATCCAGTTCAATATTAGAAGAGTTCTCCATATTAATTTTAAATTTAAAAAATTGAAATATATTTAAAATTACTATACAAATATATACAGATGTATATATTTAATTTGTTATAGTCTTTAAAACGCATTGTACCATTAATGTCTGAGTTTTTCTGTGCACTTTAAAATGTAAAACACTACTAAATTAACAAAAATTTTGTTTTTGTTCGTGTCTGACAGATAGAACTACAGTGTTGCAAGTTGTTCAATTTAGGTTACAATTAAAAAAATGTATTATTGACATATATCTTTGGCTATTAAGCATAAATGCTTAATTTATATATCGTGTTCATAGAAATAATTGTTTTGTCACATACTTTTGCAACAAAATGCGTTTATATCGGAAATCTTCGTCAAAAATAAATTAGACAACGTTTGATTTTCCGACCTGCCAGTTTAAAGAATTTTTTTTAACATTTTAATGTAATTTAAAAGTAGAGACCTGATTAAAACTAATCACAGTAACAAATTTTAGGATTTAAATGAAAACTTTTAATTACTATTACCTATTTTTAATTACTATTACCTATTTTTCCAAGTCCCTTGCTAGACTCAGTGTTGCCACCTTTTCAAAAGCCATATTACCTTAAGGCTGATTTATAGATTGCCTTCCTTATGTCACAGAATATTCGGTGCTTATGTTCTGTGCTGTTATAGACATGCGCTATAGAGCTATAGACCTATCTCATAGCGCGTGCCTGAAGAAGAGTGGTATCTCTTTTTCTTTTATATAATTAAAAAAAGACGACCTGCCTTTTCACGCACGCGCTATCCAAAAGTCCGTTTTATGGGATAGGTCTATTGCGCCCAGATACAAAATATTTCATATAATACGTATTATTATTGAGAATTTCTCAATAATAGCACGTATTCTCAATGAGAAAAGGTACTTTTTACATATGCATAGACACATGTTTAGTTTAAATAAAGTTCTTAAATTATGTTAATTGTGTTTCTTAAGAAATATTAAAAAATGGCAGGTAATTAAATACTTAAATTTTGTTGTTTACAAGTCGTTACTTATAACAGCTGCATATGCTTACGGAATGCGGTACTGAAATCTAAACATTGACATCTAAACATTGACTTTTTCACAGACAAACTGTGGACTTTTTACAAGACCTTATTAAACATTGTCTACCTAATATTTTTATACATATACATATATATGTATGTAAGTACTTGGTTTAGTAGACTAAACCAAGATGTATGTATTCAGTTAGAATTTTAGCCAGGTCTACAATTATCGCAGGTCGCAGATCGCAGAACATAAGCCTGCGCAAAGCACCAAAGCTGACAAAAGAACCTTGCTCCATCGCCACGTCGCGGGGTGCTTTGCGCAAGCTTATGTTCTGCGATCGGACCCCTGCGACAATTGTAGAACCAGCTTTAAGCGCAATTTTCATTTGTTTTTTTGATGTTGGTGTGCTTGATTCACTTATGTAACTTATTATTAGACATCACATACGTTCTATTTGCTATCCTTTTTTACCTATTTCAAAATAGAAGTAATATAATAGCGGTCACTTCGTTAATTGGTCTTTATCTGTTCTTGCTGGATTGTGGACTTTGTAGGTTACCTTGTAAATCTTGGCCGTACTTCTTCAAAATATACCGTAAGTAAATTCTTACAATATAAAATGTAAATAAGTTGTGTTTAATCTTTACAGAAAATGGCCGGAGACACTCCAGTAGATGAAAGCAAACTCACTGGTATGAGTAGAATATTCAATGGGAATACTATGAGAGGCAGGGCTAATGTAAGATGATTATACAATACCTATTTTTACAAATAAATAAATCATATATTTTCAGGTTGCCCTTGCTACTTATATTGGTGTAGGTCTTATTATTACATACTTTGTTGTCAAACCCAAGAAGAAGTAAACTTTTACTTAGCTTTTTCTGTATATTGTACTTTAATTAAATAAATCTTATATAGTTGACTTGGTTATTTTTATTTATAAAATTATTAAATAGTTCAATAATATTACAGCAATCTATAGGGTAACCAGATGTACTCCTTTGACCAGGTTTGTCCTCGTCAATGATAGTGTCCTTTGTCCTAATTTTGAAGAAAAACACGAACCATTAAATATTTAAAACATATTTTTGTGGTTTTGCTCTTAGTGGATAGACCATGCCCTGTGCACTCGCCTTAAACAAACAAAATCCACATTTTTGTCTAGTCGACTTTGGTTTTAGTTTACACTCGAGTTGCATGTGGCAGCAGCGGCGGTTAATCTTGACGGTTGCTTGGTAACGAAATCAACAAACTTCAGTTTGGTTTATGAACCTAACCTGAGTGTTTGCTAAATTTATATTGTGTTTATTTGTTGTTCTCTACGTTTAAAAACTTTAAAAACTGTGATTTATCGTTATTTGTGTACTCTTAAACATTAAACATGGTGTTCTATTGCTGTGCTGTGGGCTGCTCTACAGTCAACAGTCAAGTTATGATGCATACTTTTCCCAATGATGACGAGGTTTGTATTGTATTATTCAATTATATCTATGTTATTAAAACAATAAATTACTTACTTACACAAATATGGTAAGTAGTACCATGTAGTTTATTATGAATAATTATTGTTAATAAACTTTGGTCGTTTGCGTGTCAACCAACAATATACAAATATCAATATAAAGGCTGGGATTTAACATTTTAGCTGCTCCACAAATGGATTATTGCCATTGGTAGACCGGACCTGTTGCCAAGAGGGAAAGAAATCATCAGGAAAAACTATAGAGTATGTGATAAACATTTTTCAGAAAAAAGCAAGTTTCCAGCTTATAAAAACAGAACCAATTTAAAGTATAGATCAGTGCCAGATTTACTCGTAAAAGGTATGTAAAAATTGATTAACCCTTAAATTCATATATTATAATTATAAATTTAAGTTAAAAATGTTGTATAAAGCAGGGTTCACAGCGAGTGCCCTAAAGTACCCTAATGTGCCCTATTTTTTTCACGGTGCCCCAAAAGTGCCCTATTTTAAAATAAAGTGCCCTATTTTTTTATCAATTTTTCGTTTATTTTTTAAATTGTGATATATAAAAATTTAAATGCTTGTAAATAAAATTTACACTAAATGTTAATTAGGTGCGAAGGCGTACAAGGGTTTTAAGAAAGTGAAGAGTCCAAATGCGGCATACATAATATAATAAAACGGTCAATTCACATTTTGAATCTGGCAGTACAAGCACCACGCCCCAACATTTTTGTTAGTGTACAAAGTTGTTTTATTAATTGTGACAAAATGAACAAACAATAAATAATATTTTATCAATATTGAACACCATATAGATATCTATAGTGCCAAAATAATAATTACTGTGTAATTAATAGGGCATACAATCCACGGGATTTTTTTGATGATATCCTGGGACTTTCGGACAAAAGGTGGGATATTTCAATAAAATCGGAAAGTAAAATTTATCACTATTTAATTACATACATCTAACAGTACTGTAAGTTCTATGTAATTAAATAAGTGATTAATATTACTTAACTGTTGTTGTTTATATTTTTCCTTTATTTTCCAAATTGTTTATATAAAAAAGGGTTTCAAGTATTTAGTAATAATAAATTATTAAAAAAAAATGTTTTTTGTAATTTAAAAAAAATCCCGAAAATCCCGGGATTTAAGAAATCCTAATTTTGTCCGGGATTGTATGCCCTAGTAATTAGGTATGTACAAAACAACGGTATAATTTGTTTATGTATAAGGTAAATTATTCCAACAATTTCCTTAAATTGGCACTAATTTAGTGCCCTATGTTAAAAATAAAAGTGCCCTAAAGTGCCCTAAATTTTTTGCTTCATTCGCTGCGAACCCTGATAAAGTTACTGATTAGTTAAAAAGTTTACCAGAATACAGAGTACTTAGTTTATAGAACTAAAAAATAAAAAATAAATTAACTTATTAATAAGTAATAGGTGTTTTCGCGGTGCTGATCCCGAACTAGTTCCGACATCCTAGGCATGCGCATTTTAATATTTGTCATGCGCACTTTACAATTTAAAAGCCAAATTTTAAAAAGCGCATGCCTAGGATGTCCGGAATTAGTTCGGGATTAGCTCCGCGAAAATAGCTAATATCTAATACTATTTTTGTGTTTAGGACTTCAAAATACTAAGGATGAGCCAGAGCAAGAATTTGACACCATTATTCCAACCCCGATGGAGTGCTCTCCCACAGAAGAATCTGATGTTTCTGCAATGCCTGGTTCATCTTTAAAAAATTCTGTCACAAATACCACTAAAACTTTAAGTATGAACAGTTACTATTATTTGGTCAAACCGTGTCAAATCAGACAGTTTGTTGCTGACCACATATTTAATAATTTTTGTGGTGTTTTTATTTCAATTTTATTTTTCTGAAAACATTTAAAAGTTTAATAAACCTTTTTCTTCATGTATTAACATGTTAAATCTCTTTTGCCAATATAAAGAAAAATAGTTTGTTGATCCAACAGGGCTTTTGTAGGGTCTGACTTTTTATGAATATGTCTCAGAATAAGGTGTAAATAAATACCTTTACAAAGAAATCATACAAATAAATGTTTTAAACTAATATTGTAATTTTTTAAATGATTTTATTATTATTATTTATCACGTTTATCTAATAATTAAATTTTCTCAAACTGGCTTACTTGACATGGATGACACTACTACGAGGGTGGGTTAAAATGTTTGTGACATATAAATGATACCTAGTTTTTCGACGTTCTTGCGTGATTCCATATAATTAGTTTAAAATTAGACGTTTATCATGAAAAAGTTATATATAGACAAAATGGTTTGTCGTTTTATGACTTTGTTTTTCAAGAGTACAAGCTTAGATTGCAGTTATATATATATACAGGGTTTACCAACAGCGACTTCTTTTTTGGTTTCAAAATAAAACAAACAATTTGAATGAAAATGCTGTGAATCTTTATTTATATATAAAGTGGAAGGTTTGCCATTTATAAATGAAAAATAATATCATTCAAATGCCCACCCCCAGTACGCCTACATACATCGATTCTTTTGTTAAAATTTGTAATCACATTTTGGCATAACTGAGGCTCTATCTCACGAATGGCACGTTCAATGTTGGCTTTTAACGCCTCAATGGTTAGCGGATTATCCGCATAGACTTGATCTTTCACATAGCCCCACAAGAAATAGTCCAGTGGTGTTAAATCACAGGATCTAGGCGGCCAATTTAATGCAAAGTTACGCGAAATTACTCGATCTGGAAATTTGGTTTGCAATAAATCCGTTGT